TTTATGAAAATTTTTGTTCAGACCCGATCCGTATTTCTACGCTACCGTACTCGAATTTGATTCAAAAACCAACACAAACATCATATTTTTAAACTTTTTGAAAATATCTTACAAAATTCTAGACCGGGCCAGGCCGGCCCTAAACTTTTTAAGTTTAGGGCCGGGCTGGGCCGACCCTCTCCCTTTAGGGTCGACTCAACCTGGCCTGAAATTTCTATTCGGACTGCCCAAACTTACACCTCTAATGGGCCCCTCGCACGCAAAATAGTTGACAATTAACAATACACATGAATTTCGTTCTTTTCTTTGATTTCTTAGACTACTGTATTTAATATTTGATAACATGAACATTAATCACATATGCTTCTATTTTTTTTAGAACTTTTATAATAGAAAATTGCTATTTCCTCTTGTTATTATGAACTGATGTTTTAATCATTGGTTTATTTTTTTAATGATTTGATCTATAAATATGAGCAATTTTGTGTCACGCGTTGATGAAGTCTAGTATCGCTATTGTTGTTGAGTCCTCAACCCTAAAGATGATGCTCTAGGTCCCATGGAGATAATCATGATGGTGGTGGCGACTTTGTGTGCGGATGGGGGATGGATGAGAAGGGTTGGATTTTTAGCCAACCATGCGTATCGAGTCTCCAACACTCGTGCAATCTCGAGATATAACTCTCTTCGTGGTGGTTATGGAGGTGGGTTTATGGGCACTTAGAGCCTTTGGTGGAGTCGCATGGGTCATCGCCAATATGTCCTCTATGGTCATGTTGACCACCTTATCACTAGTGATCTTGCCGGTGTGGCTCTAGACTTTTATTCAAATAACTTATATTTAGTGCTCATTTATAATTATAAATAATTTGTATATATTTTAATTATTAAATGAAATTTCTCTTTTTATATTAAATTATGAAGTTGTTCTTCAAGAACTATTGTGGAGATTAGGATAAGTTCAGAGGGTAATAGTATAAAAGTTAATTTTTTTTTTGTGACCTTTTTTTGTTTTTTGTTTTGTTTTGTTTTGTTTTTGCTATTGTGACCTGTAGAACAAAGAATGTGACAACTTATTTTAAGGTATATGCGTCCAAGAAAAAAAAAATTCAATTATTACGTGAAGGTGGTTTTTTTTGCTGATCATATTACGTGGAGGGGTTTATTATGCTCACGTGAACCCCTAGCGGCCTAGCCTATAAGCTTGAAGGGACATTTATTTATTTTTCACATTTCTAATTAATTTATTAATTTATTAATTTTTGAAAATCAGACACTTTTTTTGTCCTCATCTCAGACAACCCACAGCATGACTTCGAAGCCAGAGTGGATTTCCACCAGGATTCGTGTTTTGCAAAACACGTTTTGCATTTTGCGGACCAGATCTACTGAGATCACCATAAAAATTGCAGTTTAACGTGCAGCATATTGTAGCCCGGGAGGTCATAAAAGAACATGATCCAATGCGGCACGATGCGCGCCGAGCAAACACTTCCTTAAGACGCACAGTGCACACTTAAAGTAATGTGACATCATATCTTTCTTTTTTTTTTTTTGACAGCGGCATAATTTTTTTTTAAAAGAATTTATTTACCGAAATTTGCCTACTAAGTAAGATGTAACTAGTAAAGAATATTATCCTAAAAAAAAATTAGTAAAGAATATTTAAGTTAGCAATTTAATTATCTGAATGTCCTATTTTGTTAATTGTCGTGTCATTTTGCAAACAAATTAATACTTTTTACAGAAAAAATAATGATTATTATAATGTATATATTTTTAAGCTGATATGATAAATTTTAAGTTTTTACTTGTTAATATTATGTGATGTTAGTGGTTTAAGATTCTATTTTAATAGTAGATGGTGATTTGAAGTCGCTTAAAAAAGTACTTTTATTTAGACTAACACGGTTATAGATCGACACACAAATTAAACCGGTAGGGTTTTCTTTAGGGCCCACATGGATTGCACAAATCGGCCCTATTAGTGGGTTATGGCATGATCAGAGTAAATAACATATTTCAGTTGAAAATGTAAATCTATTTATAGTGAAAAAATATATTTCATCTTTCTGAACTATATTGTTTCTATGCAATTTACAACTTTCTTTTTTGGTAAATTAGGTAATTTACAACTTGATTCTTAGTAGAACATAATGTGTCTGTTTGGTATCAGTTTTAAAAATATTTTTCATGTTTTTCAAGAAAAAAAAATGAAATCGGGAACGGAAACATTGTTTGGCTTAAATGAAGGATAGAAAACAAAAATGAAACCTATTTTTGGTTTAGTGTAATTTGAGGAAGAAACTGAAAACGCTTTTTTTTTTTCGTTTTCATTTATGCATTTCCATTTTCTCCTCCCTCACTCCTTTGAGAATCTGGTCCGCTTTGTACTCCACTTCTCTAATTAATGGAGATTACAATCCTCATGAAATCGTCATCACCAGGCTAACGCCTCAAGGATCCACCGACTACAGCCATGTTGTCTCTCTCTCCGGCGAATTTGTCGCCGTTGCGTCGTATGGTTCCCATCCTTGGGGCGGTGAATTCCTGCTAACCCATGAGGACAAAAAGCTCAAGAGCCCACCGACGACAATGAGAACCACCAACGGCGACGAGAACCTCCGGCTAATCCACAATGACGACAAAAAGTTGAAAAAAAAATCCAAAAGCAAAAGACACCTTCACACCCAAACCTCAACACTGGCCATAAATCCATCCATGATATCTGAAACCCAATCATAAGAATAAGCAAGACCCATATAAAATATTTCATGCCTAATCGACTCAATCTACTCTAAAAAGTCGATTTTCCTCTTTTAAGGAATTCAGTTGTGTTCTCCTTTCAATTAATTTCACATCATACTTCTCCAAAGAACCTAAACGAAAAAAAAAATTTCCTTTTCCCCTTCACTTCTCAAAGTGCTGACAAAATGGCAGCCCTAAATTTGGTAAATTTCTGTCATACCCAACATCGTTATCATCTTTTCGAGCACAACCCAACCATCGTCGCAAAGCAGGCCATCGACCATGCCTCTATTGTTGGAACCCTTTGCAAGTCTCCGCCGAACGAGCCATCCGCTGTCGCACAACCTAGATCCGTCAAGCCTGCCCACTTCGCAAGTTGCCACTGCCTAGATCCGTTCGTCACCATCGCGCCACCTGCTAGATCTTTCGTCTCCCTCCATGAGCCTGCCTCCACCGTCACAAGCTCTCATCCACCGTCGCAACCCCTTCCCCCCGCCGAGCTAGCCTTCGTCGTCAATCATTACCTCTGGTTTTTCCCTCCCTCCCTTCCTTTGAGTCTGATACAAGGAAGAAAGCCCAGTCATCAGAGTTCTTTTGAGGAAAGAAAAGGAGAAAAACAAAACATTTAAAATATCTTGATAAAACTACCAAACGCATTTTCAAAAATGATTTCTATCTGAGATTGAAAATGTTTTCATTTTCATACAAAAAATAAAATCATTTTGGAACGCATTCCAAACGCACCCAATAAGTTGAGAGTAGAGCTACGGTAGTCGTACTGTGTACATAATTTACAATACGCTAAAATAGATCATGGACAAATTGATCCTAGTCGTTAAAATTGTTAGCTATTTTTATTATGAAAAAACGCAACTACAAAATCTAGAACAATTTAGATACAATACACAAACACATTTAAGGGCCGTTTGGTTCATGTATTCAGCATTCTAATTTTAAAATTTAAATTTTTTATGAGAGAAAAACACTGTAAAAAATTATGAATTATGATTCAGAACTAAAGACGGATACATGAAATAAACATCCTCTTAGTTTCATTTAGGGACCCATACCCATCTGGTCGTGGGTTTCTTAGTCGTGGTGGAAATTTGTAGTGTGGGGCGGCAGATTGGGCGGATCGATGCTAGGGAAAGATGAGAGGTTAAAAGCTTGGAGTGCCAGTCTCAGCATGTGTAGCGTTTAGAGACTTTCATCCACAAAGTCAAGGAAGCCTTGTGCTGGCGGTGCATGTTATGATAGCAACGATAATGTTGAATGGGAGTCATGACTGCTACTCGGACAATACTTCGACATCGTTGCATATCTCAAAAGATCTGCTACTACTTTTGATGGTCCTTTTATGAGTCTTTTCTCAGTTGAAGGCTTTGACGTCATAGTTTGGTGTCTTCCTTTGTTTTTTGTGTTTTCATACTTTGTTTAATTAGTGGATTCATACTTGATTCGAATCATGATTCGTGATTCGTTATAATATTTTTTCTCATAAAAAAATACACGTAAATTGAGAATGATTCTGAATCATAATTTTAAATCCATGAACCAAACGTTAAATTCGGTGCACATTTCTTCTCATTCAACAAATTTATTGATGAATCCAGTTGTGTACTTAAGTCGTATTGATATTTATAGTCTTAATTTCAAATAAATTTTCCTTTTTCAACGACAAAATTATATGATTGATTATATTTAGATCGTATAGTCAGCATACTTTTGTTCTTTCCGGATGAAAAAAAAAAGGAATTCTTCTTGTGTTCTTTTTTAAAAAAATACTAGTGTTATTTATTTATTAACCGTTAAATTTATATTATTTTTTTAATATGATTTAAATTTTGATCAAATTTAATACAAATTTGATGGGTAATAAATAGAGAATACTAATTTTCTTAAAAAAGAGGGAACACCATAAAAATTCTAAAAAAAAAACTTTTCTTCCTTCTATTTTAATAAAAGACAATTTTTTTAGTGTTTTCTATTTATCAATTGTGAATTTTATATTATTTTTTTAGTCTGATTTAATATTTTAGTAAATTTAATATAATTCTGATAATTAATATATAGAGAACTGATGTTTTTAAAAAATAGTGAATACTAAAAATTTTTTTTAATAAAAACAAAAATTGCCATGTTAGCAATCATTCTTGTAAAAATAAAGAAAAAACAATTAATAAATACTAGTGTTCTCACAGTCACACTCCCTTTCACGTCAATTATATCTGCGGCCACCACCGCAACACATTCATTCATTTCGGCTCTCCTCTCTTCCCCAAATTCCAAGGAACTCTCTCTCTCTCTCTCTCTTCCTCCGAGGGAATTTCTGATGCTTGAAATGTGAAATCGGAGAAGCAGAACGACACTGCGTTTTTCTCCGGATTGCAGGTTCCGACAAAGTTAGGGTTTCAGAATTCCGTCTGAAATTTTCGAAGAAAATGCCTTTGACGAGGTACCGGGTGAGGAGCGAGTACGGATTGGCCGATCCCGAGCTGTACAGAGCCGCCGACAAGGATGATCCCGAGGCGCTCTTAGAAGGCGTCGCCATGGCTGGCCTCGTCGGAGTTTTGCGTCAGCTCGGCGACCTTGCTGAGTGAGCCTCTTGTTCTACCTTCTTTTTTCCCCCTCTCGTTTGGTGTTTTTGTTTGGCTTTGATCTTGTTAATTCGGAACGCTGAACCGATAGGGCGAATTCGGAACTTTTAGAGTGAGAATTCGACAAATGTGGTTGAAAGTTGAGTTTAATTGGGAATTAGGTCTGGGAATTTGAGGTTTAGATTTGGATTCTACGGCCAGATTCACCTCAAAAGCGTTTTTCCTTGTTGTTAGGTTTGAGTGCCAAATGATGATGATGAGTAGAATGCTGAATCGGTGGGGTCAATTGAAGTTTGTTGCAATGAACTGGGAATTTCGTTTGGGATTTGAATCTACGAATTCCTAGAATTTGTTTAAAATTTGTGATGAATTGACCTTGCCGAACGAGCTTTCTGACTAATTACCTTCAATTTTTTTCCTTCTTTTTTACCTAACAAAATGAATTCCGATTTTGATTGTGATTTTGCTTCTGATGTGTCTCGGAATGCGAATATTTATATCAAACGATTGGATGTGTCTTCAGTTGTTTATCATCATTTTCTCTTCTTTCCTCTTAATTTAGAGTTTTTTTTCGAAGAACTTTAATTTAGTTAGTTATTAGGAAATGGTATTTTATAGAGTGTTTGTTACGTTCTCGTTTATGGTTTCACTTCTAAGTTATTTTCCTTGCTCTTTCATGTTATGTTTCTTGACAGTCTCTCATTATCATTTACATGAAATTTGGAACCTTTCACCCGATAATTCAAACCGGGTTCCTCTAGAAGAATGTCAATGTCATTTCAGTGTTCATAGTACCATTCACATGAAATCTGGGACCATTCACTTGTTAATTAACATTGAGTTCCCTTTCAGACCACTAGCACGGGCATTTTTAATCCTCTTTTAGTAACAAATGAACAAAGATGCCCAACGTCAGAAATATCTTTTCTTATTTATCATTTGTGGCGTCTATAGGTTTGCTGCAGAAATATTCCATGACTTGCATGAAGAAGTGATGGCGACTGCTACAAGAGGACATGGTCTAATGGCTCGCGTTCAACAACTGGAAGCAGAATTTCCTCCCATTGAGAAGGCACTCTTGTCCCAAACTAATCTTTCTTCATTTTTCTACAATGCAGGTTAGATTATATGGTGCGTGTTTCGTTTATATATGGATAGTTAAAATGGCTATTGATATTTTGTGATAAATTATAGGGCTGAGTGGTTTATCTTAGGGTAGTATGTACACTGTTGATGTACTACTAATAGTGATGAAACAGATGCAATTCTGATTTTTTTTTTTCATTTTTTCATTTTTTCATTTTTTCATTTTCGATGTTACAACACATATCTTGGACCATAATTTTAGGCCTAGAAGAGTCTCTTTGAGATAGTTTTATAGTTATTTTTTAAGGTATTCTATTTATCTTTTCTGTAATTAAGAAGCTGACTTGTGGGAGCCTAAGAATGCATGGAGGTACAAATGGCATTTCTAGCACAGGTCTAATGAAAAAAAAAAAAAGAAGAATAATCTCGTCTACTCCAAGTAATTATTGTTCTAAGCTGATGATCAAAGATAGTAATTGTAAACTGTTTTGTGATGGTTAGCATGAAGAGAAAAAATTTATATGATCATTCTGGCATTTGGCATTTTTCATTGGATGAGGCAAATTTGTAAAATATATATTAGAAAAAGATCGGCAAATGTATGAAATTTTAGTTATTTACTGCATCAGGAAGCTAGTCTAACATTTTGTGTACATAGTTCATGATGTTTTTGTCTTGAAAGTATTTATTTATTTTGCTTATACTACTTAAAAAAGGCTACTATGTGCAAAGAATTCAATGTCTAATTGCATGACATGACCCACATTATTCAACTATAGGTGTTGATTGGCATCCCAATTTGCGTTCTGAACAAAATCTAATTGCATGTGGAGACTTGCCTCGCTTTGTAATGGACTCTTATGAGGAGGCCCGGGGCCCACCGCGGTTATTCCTTCTGGACAAGTACTGTTTTTACTTAGTGTTTTTACTTAGTGTTTTTACTCAAGTTATGTTGATTTGAAGATCGGACTGAAATAATTTGACTTTGCTACTTGGGAAGTCTTAGAATACCTGTTGGCTTCTAATAGGTTCGATGTTGCGGGAGCAGGAGCATGTTTGAAGCGTTATACTGATCCATCGTTCTTCAAGGTAGATGCAGCATCATCTTTAATGGAAACTGTAGAGATTCAGCGAGAAAAGAAGAGCCGAAAAGTGAAGGTATTATAATAAAATGACTGTCATTGCAATAAACATACAAACTTTTGTGGCAATGTGGGAAGTTAAAAATTATTAAACTCTTTAAAACTGTAACACATCTATATATATTTGTCTCCAAATATGAATGTTTAGAGGACCTAATTATGTAGATTTTGAATAAAATCAAAACTTGAAGCAATCTAATTTTTATTTGGGTGGATCAGCTCTAGAAGCTTGGTGAAGCATTCATTCTCCAAATCTCGATTTCTATTATTCACCACAATAACTTATTACCTTTTAAGGAGTTTAATTTTCTAGCACATGTTAGAATGATCAATAAATTGGACTGGGTGAATCTATTTGAGACTTTATCATATTAATTTGATAATTATATTGTCAAATTAAAATAAGCACTTTATAATCTTTTGTAGAAGGAGGTTCATGAACATGCTCTTATATAAATAGTTTATTTCCCTTTTCAAGTCCCAACTACTTGGCATCTCCAAATTCCAACGTGACACTTGATTTATGCGTTATTCTTGACTTCTAGTGCAATCTGTTATATAGGCTTTTAGGTTATTACATGAAAATCTTGGGTATCTTTAAGCTTAGGTTGGACTCTAATACTTGAAACACATACTTTCTGGCGTAGTGAATAGATACATGTGTTAGATCATAATATATATGGGGTTACAAGTACTTAGGTGCATCAATTCTTGAAGTTTGCATGTTCATGTTTTACACATCTATATAAATATTCATAAATTGATATACGCAGACAGAAGGACGTTTTGTATATGCGTGCATGGGTGAATGTTGAATAGATGAAGAAATATATGTACTTATTTTTTTTCCCTTGTCAATACTGTGACGGCTACCTCATGGCCAAAGTATTTGTGAAAGTAACTTCTTTAGTAACGAAAAAGCACTTCTACTCAATACAACTTTTGTGTCATACTCGTTGAAATTTTTTTCTTGTTTTTTGCAGAGGAAAGGATTGCGGTGGAGGAACGTAGAGACCACCCCAGAAGTTGTACCAACGTCACATACAAAGTGAGTGTTCTTAATTCATGTTGGTTCACTGTATACATAACATTGCAGTGTTGGTGGTATGCATTTTGAGGCATAGATGGGTGACTGATTTTTTTTAATGTTTTTTCCAAACTGTGCAGATTGCACCAGTTGTTCCTTGAGGAACGTATTGAGAATGGTCATAGTGACCCTGCACGTCTAGTGAAATTGAAGAAAAGGCAGTTGAATGGATCTGTCGTTGACTCCAAAACAGGGAAAAGTTACATGGAGAAGTTTGTGGAGAATCCACTAGACCGTGAACTGGCTTGTGAAACCTCTATTATTCCAGCAACCTTCACATCAGATTATACAAGTGAATCAGGGATTAGAATACTTGAAATCAGTATGGTTAGTCCTGTAGAAAATTCACCAAGGGATGCAAGCGCTTGTTCATCACCGAGTGTCCATGAGGTGGTATTGAAACCATCAATGAATGGTTTTGACGAGGAGGCGGCTGATGCTGAGATTGTCAAGGTGCCTGACCCCTTGCTTAATGATGAGACAGTTGGAAGATTGTCCACCCTTCATGAAGTTCAAGTTGAGAAGCAATTAGCGATCGACAGAGGAGGCAAAACTAAAGTGAATGCCAGTGGGTACGAGTCTGATGATATAACCAGTGAGCTAGACAATTACATGGATGCTTTAGCTAGCATGGAGTCAGAAATTGAAACGGACAATGAGTATAGGTCTAATGGAAATCTGCGCTTCTTGAAAGCTGATATTCACAGGGCGGATTCTGATGCGAATGAAGAACATCTTGAGCGCGGAGCCCACCTTTCAGATTCTCAATCAGTTGGAAACTTCTCTACTTCAGATGACGGTAATAATTCTTTTAAGAAAAACAGATCTAGTTTTTCTTACTCTGATACTCCAAGCAGTTTGGCTGAGATTACACCATCTGATTCTGATGTAGGTGTGAAAGCATTTCCTTCCACTGAAATTTCTGGTGCAGAGATTGTTAATGAGCCATTGCATGAGCTCTCTGTAACTGCAGAGTCTCTAGGAGACATATCTGATGAGCATGTTGTGTCCCATCTTACGTGCATTAAGGAAGAAAATACACCTGTTCATGAAGATGTATCTAGTATTGCATTGCATGTTGATATGCATCCTACAACACTGCAGTCGGATCCTGGAGAAACCTTGTCGACAGCTTCACTGGTGGAACCCGAAGGTGGAACACCCACAGAATATTTCATGCCCGAGTCTAAAGCACCAAACAGTGTTGACAATGGTACAAATCTGGTTGATTTAGTCGCTCAAGTTTCCTCCCAGATTGATGATGATTTCACAGAGACTTCTGGAGGATATCACGTGGATGAATCAGATGCTATGCCGCATTTGTCAAACATTTCAGAAGCTTCCGATGAGGAAAACAGAGATAGTTCTGTAGATGAAGTACTTCAGACTGAAGATGAAATAGAAGATTTAAAGGAAAGTTTGGTCACTGGTAAAATTGATTCACCAAGAACTTCAGGGAAAGAAAAGCAGCTCAGCTCATCATTGCCAGACTTAGAAAGTTGTTCTGCAAATTTCATTTTGCCTGCTTCAAGTGATCATTCAGAAGCAGTTGAGCCTGATGGCCTGGAATCCAAATTGGATAATACTGTTACAGCAACTGAGGTCGACTCAGAAGATTTACCAACCATGGTGGATACTGGAAAGAGCCATATCTCAGAAGAGGTACCATCTACAGTGGATTCTCTACAGACACCCGGGATGACGGAGCAACAATACCTACATTTTACCGAACGTAAAGCCCATCTCGATCCTAATTCAGCAGAATCAGGCGTTCCATATTCCAAAGAGAAACCAAATATCGAAGAGATTTCTGGGTCAGGGCATTTTGAGGAGATAGGTCTATCTACAAGCTATGTGGGATCAGACAGAAGCAATGTTACTTCTCTGGAACGTCCTTCTAGATATCTAACTGATCCTGGTGATAATGATCATGCAGTCTTGGATGAAGTATCTAGTACAGTTGTTGTAGAAGATCAAGCAATCAATTCTGCTGATGCTACAAGTGTTGTTGATAGTGTGGGCAATGGTATCTGTTTGCCTTCTGATGTAGTTTATTCTCCATCCAGGAATCCTACAAATTTGCTGGAATCTCTTGCTGGATTTATGGTTCCCAGTCAAAAAGAGGTGGAATTGGATGAGGGAGCTTGTCCGGAAGCTGCTATGGAACGAGAAACACAGAAAGAACTATGTCATGGGGAAGTTGCTTCCACAGATTCGGACTTGAACACAAGTACACCAGTTTATTATTATCATTCCAGTTCTAAAATTGATGATAATAATGATGATTTACCTCTGGATGAAAGAACCCAGAACAGTTTGTCTGCAATTGATATCACTGCAGCCTCATCTTTGGATTTGAGAGGTCAGCAGTCAGAATTAATACATTCCTCTAATAGTTATCATTTAGAGGACAGGGAATATGCAGTGGCTTTACCTACCTCTTCCGTACCAGAGCCAGAAACTACATCAGAAAAGTCACAAAAATTGCGAGCTAATCTAGTAGATGGAGAGTGGGTGGTAACCGATGATGCAGGTCGTCATCCAGAATCTCCTTTAGAACAATCAGAGTCACGAGTTGATCAACTTGATGCGAGATCTTTGCAAGTTGATCAACCAAGTATTAATTCATCAAGTCTTCCGTCTGAAGAGATGGAATCCTTGAACCACATGGCTGAGGAGAGAGGTGAGCATTTTGAATCTCAAAAACACATTGATCAAGGAATATATGTGGATGCTGCATTGGAATCGTGTAAAGAAGACCTTCCAATCCAATCTTCAACCTCACAATTCTCGTCAAAATCAGCAGGCCAGGATGTTGATAATGTGAACCAAACACCAAATCCATTAGAGCCCGCTTGTCCTAGCATTGGCAAGCGGCCTGAAGCAGCTGAAATTAATTTCGGGGAGATGCCACCAATGCCGCCCCTACCTCCTATGCAATGGAGGATGGGGAAGTTTCAACATGCTTTCCTAGATGGTTGTTGTAGCTTATTCCCGCCAATTCAACCATATGGAGCTGATGAGAAAGGTCAAGTTGAATTACCTACATCTCAAGGTGGTATACATCATACCCAGAACCTGTTGCCTCTCACGATTGTAGAAAATGAAAAGTCCCTGCATGTTGCTGTGCCTTTGGCAGGTAGTTTTGCACAGCCTCCAACATACTCATTGCAGTTGCCAACGACGGTTAATGATGCTAATGGTCAATACAATTACATCACTTCGGGGGGAACACAATCCCTGAATCCGTTCTTGACGTTACCAGCAGTTTCTAGTGAGAGATGTGAGCAGGGAGAAAAGGTGCAGCCTGATTCAAGTCCCTTCCCGCCAACACCAACCACTCAAGGTAAAAGCACACATAGTGCTGATGTTTCACTCGCAGTCACTCACCCTCTAAACCAACAAGCACCGGGAGCAGATACCATGACACATCATTGGTCATCACAATATTCTGAAGGAGAAGGAAATCCGTTTGTCACATCTATTCCACCTCCTCCTGTGGCAGAAGAGCAGGTTCGGTTTGGCTTACTGATGCCAGAGGGGGAAACCCCATGGTCGTCAAATAATTCTTCTACAATGTCAGAATCTGAAGTTGGAAAGCCAAACGGAAATGCAGTGAACAAGCTCCCTCGTCCCAGGAATCCTCTCATTGATGCTGTTAATGCGCATGGAAAAAGCAAGGTAATGATAATTGGATCGCATCCTCAAACAGAATATTCACCCTTTGTGGTTTGATTTTTAGCATGTGCTTAATTTGTTGTTGTTGTTTGCTTAATTTGTAACATGTCGAACAATTTGCAGTTGAGAAAGGTAACTGAACGAGTTCGGCCTCAGATTGGACCAAAGGCAGATGAAAGAGATTCGCTACTAGAACAGATACGAACTAAGGTTAGGGCTTACCGTTTCTATCCAACTCGATAGTTAATTGGATTTTTTTGTCTTGAATTTTTTGAGGCAATTGTTATATTGTTTTGTCTGTGGCCTCAGTCCTTCTACTTGAAGCCTGCTGCAGCGACAAGGCCCAGCATTCCAGGTCCTACTAAAACCAACTTGAAGGTTGCTGCAATATTGGAGAAAGCAAATGCAATTCGTCAGGTTCTCTCTCTCTCTCTTCCTCTCTCTTTGCCTTCCTCTTTCGCCTAGTTGGATGTATAACTTTTGATAAGTTGTGCTCTAGGCATTGGCTGGAAGCGATGATGAACACGATGATGACGATAGTTGGAGCGACTCTTGAAACAAAACTGATTCCCTTACGGCATCCAGTGATTACCTTGAACTACGTTGGGGAACTAATTTCTCCCGTTGAGCAAATAGGAATTTCATATCAGATCTTCATTTGTTTACACCATTCATGTATTATACTCCCCTTCACACACTTATCCCCATACACGTGTTGTTGTCAAGAGGCCCTGCTCTGTTCCACGGATATATGTTCGGGGGCAGAAAAGAAAATGCATTATACGAGAATGACTGCTCGAGGTTCAGCGTGCAAGCGCCGGGCCTATAAAGTATATGGCACACATAGTCATCCTTTAAAGATCTTGGTCTGTGTAAATTGTGTTGTGAGTGTAAATTTTGACATGAAAATGCTTTTGATGAAATTTTGTAACGTCTGTATGTAGCTCCTTTTACATGTATGTACGCATTCATTTGGTCTACAACCGCACCGCACCCTTTACGAAACAGGCATTTCTATGTTACATATATAGCTGGTTAATTTATGAATTCGTTCCATGTATTATTTTTTCTTTCGTGTTGTGTAAGTTCTTTGTTTTCCCAAGATAAATATAATGCTTGTATAGTTTCAAAGATGGTTATTGACATGTTAGCTTGTACAATTCTAATTAAAGCTAGCTAATGACATGTCTCGTGCATGTTGATTGATTCCTTAATACTGACGATCAATTAACTTTAGTTATTTGCATTTTAAAATAATGAAAATAGTGTGGCATTGATCATTTGGATGATTTATATTTGCATCATACATTTTTATTTTTTGAAAAAAAAAATTCATATTAGAGTAGCATGTACACAATATTTGCATTTTTTTCCCTCGAAAGTAATTTTATTTTAACTTTTTCCTTTCATGTATGGATGACGTTGAATATTTTGTTAAATATATTTCTGAGAATGTCGATGTATATGTGAATACTCGGTAAAATTGTGAAGAAAATTAAAGCTGGATATTACTTGTGGATTTTTTAATTTTTAATTTTTAATTTTTTAGACTTTACATTTGGTGGAGTTTTGGTGTGGATTTATAGCTGTCTGAAACTTGGAAAATACATACACGCACATGTATATGTATATCTGGTACTTATATATTGAGAGTCCCAATTTAGTGATTTTATTGCAGAAAAATCTATGGAATTATTCATCATCATTTCATGTTGAGTTTTAAGACTAAGGTGATGATGTTTAGTATATGACTTCTACTACAGTATGTATCTATGGTTTTAGTTATATTACAATATTTTTCTCTAAAAAAAATTAAATGTTAAAAGTTATATTAAAAAATTATGTTTTAAACCCATATACCAAATGGGCCTAAGAGTTCGACTAAGATGTTGGAGTTGTAGATACAAAAATTTCATTCGTATTCTATAGCTGGTGGCTTCTGTTATAAGGGTGATGAGCATTCCCTGCAGCAGGGCCTCTCCAACAACCTCGGAAGGCTCCACAGATCAAGAAACTCCTCCTCCAAGGCTTCATCACCTCCTTCAACCATCTTAAGCATGTCCACGCCTCTCTTCTCCGTCTCGGCCTCGATCAAGACAACTTTCTCCTCAACTTGTTCTTCCGCTATGCCATCGATTTCGGCGACACTTCTTACCCTCTTCTCGTCTTTCAACACACAAAACACCCAACATTTACGTTCGGAATACCATGATCCGTGGCTTGGTTTCCAGCCATTATTTTGACGACGCCATTGTCATTGATTTCTATCTCTCCATGCGGAGACAAGGATTCTTGCCAAATGGTTTCACTTTCCCTTTCGTTTTGAAGGCCTGTTGATAAGTCGGTTTTATACCGGTAAGTTGAATACTTTTGACTTGGAGTTTTGTTAGTTTGAGAGCCATTTTAATGGTGTTTTGAGTTGTTTTTGGATGTGTTTTACAGGTGAAATAGAGAAAGGTTGTTGGATGATTATAACGTGGATTTTCAAATATAAATTTCTTTTCCGAAAAAGAAAAAAAAATAATTGTGAAGTGCTGAGCGTCTCATGTAGCAATTTCAAATTTAGAGTACTAGAAGATAGGCTGCAATTGCTGTTTAAAATGCTAAAAGATAAACCGTAATGCTTATCCAAAAACGATTGGGATTATCTCTTGGGAAACTTTTGAAATTCAAAGCCTTCTTCTAAGGAGGACTATATAAATAAAGAGATGGATTTGTGTTAGGAGTGGAGAGTCAGTGCGGCAAAAAGAAGCAAAGAAGAGAATTTTAGACACGCAAAGAGAGATTGTCTTACATGAAGATTGTGGATTGAGGAAGGAGGATCAAAGAGAGGGAGATCGTGATTGCCAGTTTTCATCCTAATCTTTCTTCTATTCTATTTTGACTTGTAATTGTTCTTTAGTTTCATGATGAATTAATTTATTTTTCTAGGATTGCAATTGGAACTCAACATGAATCTTGAATTTATTTATTCTATCTCTTGATTTAAATTGATCAATATTGAATTGTTTATTCTATCTTGTGCTTAATGTTTCTAATTAATTGATCACTAATTAGATTGATTGAGTGACCTTAATGAACTTGGAAAAGGGATTTTTGTGTTTAGCCTTAGATAGAATAACACATGATTAATATGCGGAAGCCTGGAGTTTATGTAAGATAGGAATATACCTACGTAACATGTGTAGCCAATAAGAGGGGCCTTTGCTTAATGAATCTTTCTTAATCTAATTCTCATAGGAATATAGTGAGTTAGAGTAATGGGGGTATTTCTACTTGACATCAGAAAGGCCTTTTAGATTATTTAGACCTTTCAGTTAACAATTCAATTTGATTAATTTGTCAAGGGAGGATAGAGAGATTCAAGTGAAGTGTTGAGGGAAGATTGAAATCCTAGGTTTTTTTTTTTTTTATTAAATTTTCGTTGTGTGATCTTTTTAGTTGATTTTCTTTAATTTACTTTTTGCTCTCTGTGAACTCATTATTTTCTTTTACTTATTTTTTTATTTTATTGTTTAAATAAAATTGAGGTGGTCTAATTTAATATTTAGCAAGTGTAGTAATAATTCTTCGTGGGAGCGATACTTTTTCTCATCATTATATTACTTGTTATCGATACGTGTGCTTGCGTTATAAAATCATCAACACCAGTGGACCAATTAAAGCTCAATGTTGACGCATCAGTTCTTCCGCACAACTGCAAAAAAAAAAGAAAGAAGAAGAAGAAAAGAATGATACAAACACATATGCCGTGTTTGGAATTGATCCCATTTTTATTTTTTACGTTTTTCGAGAAGAAAAAAATAAAAACGTTTCCAAAACGGCGTTTGACACAATAAAGACAAAAAATGGAAATGAAAACGATTTTTTGGTTTAGTGTAAAATGAGAGAGGAATGAAAAATGACTTTTAGTCGTTTTTCATTTTTTATTTTCGTTTTCTCCTATCTCGAGCAGAGAGAGAGAGACATTAATGGGGGTTTTTTATACTGAAAATAATCTCTTGATAAAACTACCAAACATATTTTCAAAAATGATTTCTGTCTGAGATTGAAAACGTTTTTCTCACTTTACTCTTATGAGAGTCACCTTTTTTTTTTTTGCATGTGTTTCTATTTATTATTAGTTGGTTAAAATAATTTTTTTCAAATATGTCATTGCTTAATTTTTTTTGTCAATTGCTATCTTTACATATATTTATTTTTAAAATAACTATAAAAAATCTTAAATGGTTGTATAAATGAATTTCTCATTATTCAGCAATCAATAAACTATTCAGTGTCTCCAACATGGTAATACGTGCGGAGTATGTTACAAAACTAATAAATAAAAAAGAATTAAGCTAGAGAGGGCTTGGCTTTCTTCTCCCATGCCATGCTGCATGTGGCAATATGAGAGAAGAGAAGCTCTTTGATGTTTGTTAGGTTAGATTAGTTTAGATAAAAAAATCTTTTTATTTTTGACCATATCAAACGGTTAGAAACTGGCCCTAACGATAAAAAAGTTCTATAAAGAAAGTCCTTAAAAAAACAAAAAAGAAGGCCAAATAAAGATTAAAAAAAAAGAAAAAGAATGAGTATTCAAAAGGCTATTTTTTATTTTGATCATATCTAACGATTAAAAATTGACCCTAATGATAAAGAGGACATAGTAGAAAAATCTTAAAATAAGGAAAAAAATGCCATATAAAGATTAAAAAAATAAAAGAAAAAGGTAGTAATAAAAAGAGTAAAAAACTCTCTTCTCCCGCCACGTACATAATTAAAAAGAATTATTTTATTTAAAAAGGTAAAAATAAAAAAGTGTTTTGAAGATAGGTATTGTAAAAAAATGAACTGTTAAAAAATATTTAAGGAAAAAACAAAAAAGAAAATAGGAAAAGGAAAAGAAGAAAAAATAAAAAAAGTTTAAAAAAGAAAGGGAAGAAAAACTAAAACAAATTTATTGGAGTTTAAGTAAATAAAAGAGAGAGAGAGAGAGAGCGCAATATGATGAGAATGACACGGTAAATAATTAAATAGAGACATATAGGAAGAAAATTATTTTAAGCATTAACAAAAAGTAAAATACGAATACATGCGAAAAATTACTTTTATAGAAGTAAAGTGAGAAAAATATATTTTCAAAAAGTAAATAAAAAATTAAAATGTAAAAAATTCAAAAATAAAGAAATAAAAAAATTAAAAATAAAGATAAAAAGTAATAAAAAAGAGAAGAAACGGGAGTTAAGAGAAGGGGTTGCTATGTGGCGATCTTATGAATTTGTTAGATAAGATTAGATGTTAGACTAGATTAGATATATTAGATAGATATAGAAATTTAAAAAACATTTAAAAAACAAAAAAAGGTAAAAAAGTAGAGAATGGAAAAAAGGGGTAGGAAAATATTTAAAAATAATAAAAAACAAAGATAAAAAAGTAAAAAAAGAGAAAAAGAGAGCTAAGAGGAGTGATTTTCACATGACAATCACATAAAAAAGAGTTTTGGCTCTCTTAGATTTGTTAGATTAGATTAGATTGGATGTTAGATTCGATTAGATATACTAGATAGGTATAGAGATTTAAAAAACATTAAAAAATTAAAAACTTAAAAAAAAAAGATAAAAAAGTAAAGAATGAAAAAAAAAAGAATAAGAGTAAGGCTGCCACGTGACAACCCAATAAAAAAGATTTTTGGCTCTTTAAATATAGAAGAGATGTGAAGGAAAAGAACAAAAAAGGAGAAAAATCAAAAAAAGTAAAAAAAAAAATAAAAAAGAGAGGAGTTGACACTTGACAAGTGAAGAAGAAAAGGTGTATGTTGAAGTCAAATTTTGCTCCTTATTTTTTATTTTACACGTGTTCTTATACGTCTCAGAGAATGAGACTCAATTATGAATTCTGCCGCCGAAATAAGCTATGAGCCGTCGAGACTCAATTATGAATTCTGCCGCCGAAATAAGCTATGAGCCGTCAAGCAGCTGTGAAGTTCTGGTGCTGCCCGAACGTCCAATCCAACGGCTCGTCGGACGAGTCATCAAACAAGACTGTTTAGAATAAATGCCCGTTTAAAAATAAATGCCCGTTTAAAAATAAATGCATGTTTAAATGTTTAGAATCTGAGTTCAAATTTAAAGCACAATTCATATTTTGTGAGACTATAACAGAAACTTTTAAATTTATATTTTTGTGATAGAAAACATTATTTGAATTAAAATTAGAGTGTGTAGGATCTGTTTGATATATGCATTTAAATTAGGGTTTAAACCGATAATTTTGATTATCACTTTTTAAATTTATATTTTTTATTAGAGAAAAACAACGTAATATAATCAAAATATGTATGAAAAATTTATATTCCAAACATACCCTTATACCCTCCGAGGCTCCAACCAAATAATGTCCTAATTCTTGGTTGTCGGTGCCGCTCGGTTGTCGGTGTCGTTTGAAACAATGTTCTTTTCCAACGGTAAAGAAGGGGTTTTGTTTCTTAACCCTCACTTGAAACTCTCCAGCCGCCACTTCCAAAAAAAGAAAAAAAAAGACTCCCCAGCCGCCTCACTCTTTTTCCATCTCTCTTCACCTCTCTCTCTCTCTTCTTTCCCCGAGTCTCTCTCTCTCTCTCTCCCCCTTTTTCTCGTTCTTCGTCTGGAGATATCGAGCTGCGACGGAGATGTTGAGCCGCCGTCGTTCTTCGTTGGAGATTTCTGCCGCGAATCGCCGGAGAAGAATAGAGGGAGAAGACTGGTTTTGTCGCGATTCCGGATGCGATTTCGCCATTTCCCCTTTCTAGTTTTGTTGACTTTTGATGCCGCGATTTAAATGATTTTGCTTACTTGGTTTTGTTGAGTTTTGATGCCGAGATTTCGGCTTCGATTTCTCGATTTTGCTTCTCTGATCTTTTTGAGTTTTGATGCAGCTTTCGCCGGAGATGTTCGGGTGTGGCCGGCTGGGAAAGCCTTTTCCTCTCTCTATCATCGCCGCTGCGAATCCAACGTTCTGAATCGCCGAAAACATTCCGGCATCGCGATGATCTCTTCAATTCTGATTTGCAACTTTGTCGTTTATCGTACCTTAACTTCACACTCCAAGTGTTCGACTAAATGCTGCCATAGAACTCCTCTTCTGTCAAATCTGAGTTTGTAATTTTGATCAGAGTTTTGAGAATTTTGATCTGTTGAATATATATACATGTACATGACTAGCTTTCATATATTACTTTCTTTTCTCTCTCTGCCATGGCTTCTCATCAACATTTCTTGATCCTCTGCATCAAATCACGATGTTCTTAAGGTAAATTCTCCAAATGGGTTCCCATCAAAGTTTCTTTTTTTCTTGTTTGGTTGCTGAGAAAATGGTGCAATTCAGCAACAAGAATGAGAGTGAGATATAAAAAATGAATGAGACTTTTCTTCTGATATACGGAGAGTTTCCTGATCAATCAAAATTGTCGGTCGAGAACATTTTTTAACTTATCATTTGTTTTTTGTTTTGACAGCATTACGTTGTCGGGAGCTTCGGATCCATTGCTGAATGGAAACCGAGATGATGCTAAAGTTGCAGATCTGCTTATCTGCTATTATTGTCTTCTATTATTAAACCAAGGTTCAATAATATATAGTGGATATATATACAATAACACAAATGAAACTCTTATTATTTTCGTTTTGTTTGTCATAAATATTGTTGTTATGTTATTATATGTATTTTCTGTATTTTATTTTTGCAGGGAAGAAAATTATGAGAGAATGTCTATAATACACAATTACAATCATGCTTTTAGAGGATTCTTTGCCATGCTTACAGAGCTTGAAGCTTCTATTTGATATTTTTTGTTTCTCTCGTCTTTCTCTCTGTCTGCTTGTGTTTTTTCTTTTTCTTTTCTGTTTTTTTTCTCTTTTTGTCAATTCAATTATTTATTTATTTTATATATTTTTAACTCTTCTTCAAAATATGTTTTTATAACGGAAAAATATGTTTTTCAATAGGTTCCAATTCTACTTTTGGCATTTCATTCCATTCAATTTAAAAATACTTCAAGGATAAATATTTTGAACAATTAATTTATTTATGTTTTTTCATGGACAATCATTGGTTTTATTTTCTTTTAATTTTTCCCTTGGATTCTGAGGTTGGGGATTTTGTGATTGTTAATACGCTGTGTCATATCGACGGATGGAACAGTTAATGTTTTGGTTTCTATTTCAATTGGTATGGAATATGTTTGTTTGTTGACTATCAGAAATTGTGCTAGGCAATCTAAAGGACTAACAATGATAAAAATGCAATCATTGAAAAATCTACAGATTACCTGTGGGCGCATTTAAGGATTTTTGGTAGAAACTAGCTTGCAGATTACACTTAATTTTAATCTTTCTACACTTGACCGTGTTTTGAAAGGAGTTGGTATAGTTTTTGAGCTAACAATTCATTGACCTTTGGATGATTGCTTGTGGGACATTTTGTGAGATAACTTGCCAGAAAATTTTACTCAAAATCAGATCTCCACCGACCTTCTGAAAGGGTAAGATTTGTATATCTTATTATTATTATTATTATTATTATTATTATTATTATTATTATTTATGTTGAAATCTCTGTTTTTCAATATTACTGATGTTTTTAGCTCTAGCATTACCATTGGCGTTTGACTACTGTTACCACTGGTTCTAGCTCTAATGTTGCTGCTGATCTTAACTTCAATTTTATTTAAAGTTGTAACTCCCATATTGCTATTGGGTTTTAGTCCAACATTGACATTGGTTGTAGCTTGAATGTTGCGACCAGTTTTACCTCTGAAATTGACTATCTTCGTAACTTTGTGAGTGGTATTAGATCAATTAAACTATTGCAAGTGTTGGTGCTGCAGATAGGGGCATTTTAAAAGCAGAGATATGATGCCTTGGATTCACCCAATTTTTGTTGTAATTCTTATTGGTTTTATATACAAGTAAGATAATATTTTAATTAACATTTGCTATTAAAATCTTCGTAGATATTCCTTACGGCGAGGACTCTTGTGATCATACTAGAAATGTTGATTTTAAGGAAATTGTGGCGTTGGCAGACTTGAAAAAGGTAGTTAACTATTCCTTTCTTTTGCTTACTATAACTACTGCAAGACCATCAATATTATTAAATATTTTTTATGCTCCATATTGATTTATTGCAGGTACAATCTTATTGGAGTGTTACGGTGTTATTCACAAAAGATATCAATATAAATAACGAACCTCCTTAGCTACGGTATCTAAATTATTTAATTTCTACTTTTTTGCGTACTCATTATGTCTTTAAATTAAAATTTCTTAATTGTGAATTGTGCTTTTTTGTTGAATGTGAACTGATATAAGATTGAATTGGTTTTGATGTAGTGCTTGTGTGGTTTTGCCATTTGTTGTGTCTTTCTGTTTTGCTTACTTTTCTGAAATCTTCTGTTCACTCCTTTATTTAGGAGACAATAAAATTTCATGCTTGGCACTATACACCTATGTCTTTCCGCTAGCTGTTCTTTTTTTTTTAGCCTCTTTTCTTTTCTTCCTTTTTTTAATTTTTTTTTGCTGAGGGTTTATTTAGTTACTTGTGTGAGTTTTCTTGACCTTCTTGGTGCAGTACTACATATTAAAATTTTTTCCTGGCATTATTTGTGTTTAGAGTGGGAATGAAATAATTATAACAAATCGTGATACATAGCATTTTTTTGATGAAGTGTGCATTTTATGTGTTAGTTTGATGAAGTTGATTCAGTTTAGTAGTGGGGTTTTGAAAGTTGTTGATATTTGGGGAAATGAAGACTTTTAGCGTGTTAAAATTGTTTTTGGGAGTTCACTACAATGGCAACAATGTAGACTTGGGAACAACTTGTGGAAAATACTAAAGAGTATGCTGCCTAAGCATTATTAATCCAGGTGACTCTGATATCATTAAGACATTGAGGATCCCATGATCTGCATCAGGTCTTAGATTTTGGTCAGTCCTTGCCTTTTTTTTCATTTTTTTTCCTGTTGGGAAGTGAGAAATAGCTAGTGAAGTAAGCTTCCAATGTTTGAAAGGTTCAAGATTATGATATTGGAAGATCCTTTTATGGCACTTCTTGATTGTTCTATGGTGACTTTAAATTTTAACTTTTAGGATGTATCGTATCCCATTTTATGGACAACTTGAATTTTAATTTTATTATTGTTCTCTATTAAAAAAAAAAAAAATGTGCGAAATTCAGATGTAAAGGGAAAAAATAATAGTAGGTCATAGTTAGAAAACATCACATATGTGCATTAATAGAAGTTCACTATTGTGCGGTCTTTGTTTGTTTCACTGTTTTGAAGGTGACACAGCGGTGGTGTTCAAGGAATTTGTTACTGGTTATGATGATGATTTGACGTGCAGATGTTCTTAAGCTTCTATGGTCGAGAGGCCCGCTGTTTTCCTAGTAGCTACGATTTTCTGTTCAACCTTGCAAAGTGGCAGTGTAACCATCTTTTCCCCTATGTTGCCTTCTTGTTTCTTTTTTTCAAGGGATGATGTACCTTAGGACTTTATTAGGCTTAGGTTTTTCATTTTTTTTTTTTTGGGTGTGTTTTGATGGGCTGCTAGCTGGTTTTAGTTCTGTTGTTGTTTCTTTTTTTCAAGGGATGATGTACCTTAGGACTTTATTAGGCTTAGGTTTTTCGTTTTTTTTTTTTTCTTTTTTTTTTTGGATGTGTTTTGATGGGCTGCGAGTTGGTTTTAGTTCTATTGTTGTTTAGTGACATTTTTTATATTTGAATGAGATTGTTTTTAAAGAAAAAAGACCACTATATTTTTGAAGAAAACTAAACAAAGTTATATTTCTATAAATTTGATAAAAAAAATCTGCATAAGTTTAAAAGCAGAACATGCTCATCCCTCAACTAGTAACTTTAGAATATTAGAATGCAGAGTGTGTTTATTATAGCTGCTCTAACATTCTTACTAGTCAAAGGTTTTGTTTATCTATTTTGTTGTCTTTTGTGCTCTTTTTCCCCCCCTCCCCTGAAGCATCAGTTTTTCATTCTCTGCATTTTCTTCAGCTTTTCTCTCTTTTGTGTTATTCTCTCTCTCGCCTTTTTGCTATTTAGAATCACCATCAACTTGATTAATGAGGTCGACGTTTACGCTTTGGTGGCGAACTCTACTCTATTTCTTGATTCCATTTTTTTTGGTGCGTGTTTTGTTCTTGAGAAAGTGTGGGAAAATCGAATGAAAGATTGGGTTGAAAGAGTCTCCATACATTTTCGTTTGCTTATCTTAGTTGGTTGAGTGAATTTTAAAGATAATAATTATTCTCTGTTCATTTGATTTTTATTTTTTTATTTTATTGGTTTTGTTTCCTAGTTGACTGATCTCTCTTTGATTGTGTTTTCTCAAAGTCGTGATCATTTTTCGCCCTTTGTTTTTTTTCCCGTTTGGACTAACAATTTCCTACTTTGAAACTTTTTTCTGAAGCGTTAATTTCTCCATTGGACCAAAATTACTGTTGTACTTTTTCCCTATAAGTTCCTTCAACATGTTCATTATTTGCTTATGGTGCCTTTTTTCTTCATAAATTTGGCGTTTGACTACAGTTCTTGATAGCTATCAGACATCTTTTATATTGATTCTTGAATTTATGATTCTTCAAGTTGCGTTCCCTTTTTCCGATTTTAAGTGTTGTATGACTTTTTTGTTTTGGTATGTTAGATTTTTTTTTTTCAAATTGGTACTAGGAAATAAGTTCATCTATGTAATTAGTGCTTACGCTCCACAAATAGGATTGGATGCGGAAACTAAAGTCAAGTTTTAGGAAGACATGGATGACTTAATGTGTCGTATAAGCAATGAGGATAGCATTTTTATTGGAGCAGATTTCAATGGGCATGTTGGTAAGGATAGGAAAAACTTCGAAAGGATCCATGGTGGTTTTGGTTTTGGAGCTTGAAACGAAGAAGGAAAATCTATTTTGGAATTTGCGTTGGGTCATGATTTTATCATAACAAACACATTTTTCAAGAAAAGAGATTCTCACTTGATCACTTTAAGAATGGGAGGAACTTGAGCTAGATAGATTATTTTCTCACAAGGTATAGAGATCGTTCTCTATGTAAGAATTGTAAAGTAATTCCTGGAGAAGTACTAGCCACCCAACATAGGTTAGTGATCTTAGATGTGAGCATTAAACTTTACCATAGAAGGACTAAGATAAACTCGTTGGTGGCATTTGAAGGGAATAAAGCAATTGACCTATAAAGAGAAGTTGTTAGATGAGGCTACTTGGTCATATATATGTGATGCAAACACTATGTGGGATGCCATGGCCAGCTGCATTAGAAAAGTGGCAAAGGCTATTAAGACCCCCAGGGAAAGAAACCTGGTGGTGGAGTGAGGAAGTTCAAAAAGCTATTAAGACCAAGAGGGATTTATATAGAGATTTACCAAAGCGTAAGGATATTGAAACTTTTAATAAGTACAAAGAAGCGAAGAAAAAAGCTAAGGGAGCAATTGGTAAGGCTCGTTCTACTTACTTAGATGAGGTATATAAGAAACTTGGGACTAGAGCAGGAGAAAAGGATATATATGTTAGCTAGGATAAGAGAAAGGAAGTGTCGGGACTTAAATCAAGTGGGGTGTGTTAAGGATGATACAGATCAGATTATGACAAAAGATAAAGACATTAGGGAAAGGTGGAGGAGTTACTTTGAGAAGCTTTATAATGATGATCATGCGATAGAGTTTGACGATCTTAGGTCACAAGGAGAACCTAATGTGATATATATAAGAGGAATCAGAGTCTCGGAAGTTAAAACTGCACTACGAAAAATGAAAATGGGGAAGGCATGTGGGCCATATGATATTCCAATGGAGGTTTAGATAGCGTTAGGAGATGTTGGAATTGTGTGGCTCACTAAGCTTTTTAATGAGATACTAAAGAAGAAGCATATGCCTGATGCATGGAGGAAAAGTATTCTTATCCCCATCTTCAAGAATAAAGGAGATGTGCTGAATTGTAACAATTATAGGGGCATAAAATTAATAAGCCACACTATGAAACTTTGAGAGAGAGTATTGAAAGGAGATTAAGGGCCACAACTACCATCTCAGGTAACTAATTTACCTTCATGCCAGATAGATTAACCACGGAAGCCATTTTTCTTCTTAAGATGTTGATGGAAAGGTACAGAGAAGTCAAGACGGACTTACACATGGTCTATAGATTTAGAAAAGGCATATGATAGGGTGCTGAGGGAAGTTTTATGGTGGGTGCTAGAAAAGAGAGGAGTGCATGTGAGGTATATCAAGGTAATTAAGGACATGTACGATGGGGTGGTCACGAGTGTGAGAACTGCTGGAGGTTACATGGCAGAGTTCCCCATTCGGCTCGGCCTTTATCAAGGATCTGTTCTTAGTCCTTATCTTTTCACCATCGTGGTGGATGAGCTGACAAGAGAAATCCAAAGATAGAGTTCCTTGGTGTATGCTTTTTGCGGACGATATAGTTTTAGTTGATGAACATAGGGAAATAGTTAACCGTAAGTTAGAACTGTGGAGACATACTTTCGAGACGAAGGGATTTAAGTTAAGTAGGACGAAAACTGAATACATGCATTGTAGGTTTAGTAACTCAAGTAATCAGAGTGATGGAATTTCTTTAGATGGTGTGGAGATTGAGGCTTCTAGAAAGTTTAGGTACCTTAGGTCTATAGTGCAGTATGAAGGAGATATAGAAGATGATATTCAACATAGGATTAATGCATGGTGGGTTAAGTGGAAGAATGCTACGGGAGTTTTATGTGATGATAAGATGCCTATTAAGTTGAAAGGAAAGCTCTATAGGATTGTAATCCGCCCAGCTATGTTATATGGTAGTGAATGTTGGGCCATTAAGAGACAACATATATCTAAGATTAGTGTTGCAGAAATACACATGTTAAGATGGATGAGTGGCCATACGAGAATGGATCGCTTAAGGAATGAAGGTATTCATCATAGTAAAGTATGTGTAGCGCCAATAGAGGATAAGGTGCTTGAAGGCTGCTTGAGGCGGTACGAGCATGTCCAACGTAGACCGCTAGAAGCACCAGTTCGTGCTTATGACATTCTTATACCTAATACTAGGAGAAGGAAGGGTAGACCAAGAATTACGTGGACCGAAGTAGTTAGGAAAAACATTCTAGATCTAGGCCTTCAGGAAAGTTTAGGCCCCGTTCATTTCACCAATTTGAGTTTAGAATTCGAGTTTTGTTATAGTAAAAAGCTCTCAGAAAGAGTCACATCTAACTTTTTTGCTACAGTAAAAAGCTCTCACATAAAATCACATCTCAACTCGAACTAAAAACTCGAATCAACGAACTAAACGGACCCTTAATTTCGAACAGTGCTGCGTGAAAAAGTGAAATTCATATAGCCGACTTCAATTAAGTTGGGATTAAGGCCTGTTGTTGTATTAGATTTTTAGATGCTTCAATTTCAGAGTTAGAATTGGTGTGCCATTGATTTTGGGCACACTCATTAAGACGACAATACTCGTTTTACCCCATAAGGTGCACATGTTTTGTTTGCATGTTTGTGTTTTTGTTTGCATGTTTGTGTTTTTGTTTGTGTTCTGTGCGTGTAATTTCTACTATGCATTGAGATGTGATTGAGGTGGTTTGAGAAGAAAACAGAGATGGATGTGTTTGGGAAAGGGGAGATATGATGGGAAAATTTGCTGGCGAAAACTTTCTGCTTTCCTTTGACTTTTTATAATGTCGTTCTCAATTTGGCTCTACAAAGCTGTAATGATTCACTGCCTCTCTAGTTTTTTGGAGGGGTTCGGCTTCAAAACCATCTGATTGTTTGCATAATTGGTCTTTCAATTTTACGTTCAAAATATACACCACCATGGGGCATGCCATTGCCTGCTTCCTATTTCCATATGATTATCGAAGGTCCTTCCTGGTTTGGATCATTGTCTCTCTCTGTTTTTTTTTTTTTCCCCTTCATTTCTTGTGAAATTGGTTTCTGTATAAGAGAGTTAGGAGTGGTATTTAACTAGTGAAAGTATTAGGAAGTGAACCCGTTTTTGGTATTCTGGTTTAAGAAGAAACAAAAAGGCTCACTTTTTTTTTTTTTCTTTTTCTATCTCCCTTTTTCTTGTTTTTATCACTAAGTTTCAACCTAAGATGTATTTTTCTTTCATAACAGTTAGGCATTTTAATTGCAAAAAAACATGGTTACAAAATTTCTTTTCTAAAAGCTACATCATTTATATAGTGTGTGAAAGATTGATGCTTGCATTTGTTTCTACTGCAAAAACTCTAAAACCAAGTCTACAAACCTAAACTCCATAAAAGCTGCTACTTTGTAATTGTCTAACAGGTTCACAAAGTTTGGTGCATCAGTTTTTCATAGACCTACTGAAGGCATGGCATTAGCTGATGCAAGGTTTAGATAGAATAGCGGTGCTTTCTTTAACTATTACATGACAAGTCAATTAACATTCTTTATTCTATTTTACGATAAATTCTCTTTTAACTTTTGTCTTTTGTCACTTGCAATATATTTTATACGTTTTTCTCTTGAGATGTTTAATTCTTAGTTGTCATTGTGGGAAATAAAATGCAGATGTTGCTACAGGGAACTATCTTCAATTAATTATCTAAAGACTTTCTTTCCTGGTAGGAAGTCTTCAGGCATCTGGGAATATATGTTGCATCAATTACAAAGAGTTTCAAAGGTCGTCAAAGACACTTGTTTTCAGTATGTTAAGTTGATTGAGTGTGATTATATTTTAAAGATTATATTGTTTGTCCTCGTTCTAGCTCTTTTGTTGTTTTTCGCATTATAAATTCCTAATGAAAGTATTTAAAATCAGTTTAAAAAAATTAATTCAAGAAAGTCAAAATTAATCTTTAAATAAACATTTTTAACAACTAAAAAAAAATGTCAAAACACTGCATTCAACTTTAGCATTGAGGGTCACACGTGGGATGCACGTGGATTTCAACACGTTTTTCATTAAGTGTTTACTCCCATTTCTTGTTTTCGTCAAGTATATTTGTTGATTATTGTCATTGGTTTTTAGTTTACCTGAATGTTGATCGTTGAATAAGATAAGATGCATTTTTGTTGCAAATTGTTACCGTTTTCTCTCTCTCCCCCGCTCTCCAACTGCTATATTTAATATAGTTCTGAACTTTTATGAGCTGTTAATTGAAAGTTTGTTGATATGATATGAGTTAGACAGAGTTGTACCTTACTAAGCTCATTTTATTAGTTCTTTTAAGAGAGAGTTGATAGTTTTGTTGCTCTTCGTATTTTAATTAAAAAAATATGACTGCAAATGTTTTGTTCTTGGCGTGAAATTTCCTTCGTTTGTAGTAATATTTTTTGATCCAATGTGTGCCATGTGTGCTTTAGGTGGGGTTGCGCATGATTAGTGTTGCAAGAATTTAAGAAATAGTTTAACTTTTGTATTCATAAAACTTCTCAGAATGGCATTAGTTTTTTGTTCGAGGAGAAACTTGAGCGATTTTTGAATAGGTTAGGACCATAATTGCTTACTGCCGCAATATCTTGTAAAATCCTAACTTTTGAGCCTTTTGCACATATGATTTGACGGTTTCTTAAAGGTATATAGTCGTAGGTATTATGTTATTTAGTTACTTGCTTGTTATGAACATTATATCTTAACTGTTGTTCTTGTTTTAAAATAGATGATTTCCTAGTAGTTCCTTCTGTAATACGGCGCCTTATGTCATTAAAATCTATTATCCATATTCTATTACTCTTACATAGATTTGAGTCCCTGTAGTTCCTATCTATAATTCTCAGTCACTGCAAATCAGTTTTACAATGTTCTTTTATATTCATGTTGTGTAGTTGTTTACTATGTGTGATAGTGATAAAGGTGTCACCTCCTTTGCTTAGGAAAAAAATAAAATATTGTTAGATATAGCCTTTGGAAGCAAGGTTTGCCTTTCTTTTATTAACTTTTTCATCCTAAAATGAAAGACAATTCTAATTTGCATATGAGTCATTGTTTTTGCCTTCAAGGCTAGTTTTTTTTTCTCTATAATTGTTGTCTAGCTGATCTCATAATAATATATTGAGAGGACGCATAGGTACTTCTTTTTATTTAATTTCTTAATGATCAAATTGGACGTGGAAAGTGAAATAAACATGAAAATTGCAAATGCCTTCCTTTTGTGGAGTTTCTTTGGCTACCGAGCAAGCAGGTTGAGAAAGTTTTGGCTCGCATAGTTAGAATCATGTGGCTGCCATTCTTTAAGCAAATTAGGCAACCTTACTTCCAAGATATAATCTATCCCTTGTCTTCAATCCTCATAACTTGTGTGAACAATCACTAAAAAAATAATAAATTATGTTATCAGGGAAGTTCTTATTCAGCTTGTGTTAACAGTTATTGTTTCTGTTCTTTGGTTTATTACACACCCCTTGAATTGATTTGTTTTACTTTTCCTCAACTATTTTGATTTTATACTCCTTGATATACATAAATGACACTATTTCCTATATTTGGATATTCATTTTTTCATGACCAACACTAAGGCAAACAAGTCAACTTCCCTATGATATTCTCGTACGTTTTTGGTCATGCCTCTATTGTAATAACTTGGAAGATTGTCTAATTCTTTTTATTAGCAGTACTTGCATCCATTTTTCTTCTTAAGGTATGCGGGTTGCTCAGTACAACAACAACAACAAGCCTTAATCCCATCTATGCAGGTTGCTCAGTATGCTCCTTTAATTTCATACTATTTTTTCAATCTCATTTGTCTTGGTGAAAAAAGAGAAACTGTATTTGACAATAATATACTTGTTAGATTTTGGTGTAAATGTATTTGTTTTTTGAGATATAAGGTAGATCACGCTCCCAGTGTTTTTGCTAATGAGCACACTTTGTCTGTGAAAATGGAACCTTTTGTTGAATTTTCTCATAGCATGACCGGGAATTGATTCTCTTTCTTGCTTTTCTTTTTTAGCATAACGGTAGCTTATGATGCTTCTTTTTTAAATATATCAATTCTACTAATTATATTTATTTATTTTCAACATCATAGCCATATCATGTTTAAAAATAAATTCATGTTTTTCCTTATAATTTGTTATAAATGAAAATAAAAATAGCTAAAATCTATTTTTATAAGTGAAATTCAAAAACTCAAATTATTTTTGATTGTCCACTTGTCTCTCTATATTTTGATGGACAAGGAACCTGTTATTTACGGCTTTTAAGATGACGCTGTCTAGAAATTATTACATGAAGGTGAGATCTTTGCTATATATATATATATATATATATATAACTCTCTCTCTCTCTTTCTAGGGTTTTTTTTTTATCAGATATGATATTTTTCTCCTTTATGAAGGTTGTTTCTCCTCCTTCAATTGGGTATGCTTCTTTCTTCTTTTTTTTTTTCTTTTTCTTCTTTTTTTTTTCTTTTTTTTTTTTTTTTCCGCTTGGTTTTTTTGACTTTTTCAAAGTTATTGATGAGGTTTTTTTTTGGAAGGTTATTGTTGAGTCGGTTTAATTGCAATGACTGGTTGAAAGTAATGATGGCACTATAATGTATAGTTGTTATAGCTAAGACCATCTGTATTTATAGACTTTTTTTGTTCTTGTTTTCTTTTTGCTCGACTCCTTCGAATTTAAACGTGACTGGAAGATGATTGAAGCATTTGTTCTACAAAAACAGTTAGGTACTATTTTATCCTATATGTAGAGAAAAGTGCACCTCTACCATTGAATTTTGAAAGTTCCTTTTTAACTTCTCTTGATGAAGTCATGGTCCCTTGTTGGACACTGTATTAACTATTATAGTATAATGTGTATTTAACTTAGAAATCTTGTGACTTAGTGGAGGAAAAGTCCCCATTGTTCTTTGTCTCTCAACTGGTGTGTTATGTGCAGAGAAAATTCAGAAACAACTTGATCATTTATTCATGCATTGCAAGATGGCTCAGAGTCCTTAGGGAAAAGTTTTTGCAGCAGTTAAACTGAAGTGGTGCTTTCTAGCCCAAAGTTGTGCTATTCTGGTGGAGGTTTTGGGGTTTCGGAAGAGGGAAGAAGGCTCAAACCATACGGAGAGTAATGCTTTCAGCTGCTCTTTGGGTAACATGGAATGAGAGAAATTATCAATGTTTTGAAGAGTGAGATGGTTGTTGAAGACTTATTTGAGAAGGCAAAATACCTTGCTTCTCTGTGGGCTGCAACAGATGCCATTGTCTCTGATAATATTAGGTTGGAGGACCTTCTGAGTTCAGATGTTGGTGGTGTTGTTATGTAATCTTGTTTTTTAATATTTTTTGGTTTTCTTTTTGCTTTGTGGATGGATCTGTCGTCCATCTTTAATACTTTCTGTACTCTTTGTTCTGCGTTTGTTTTTTAATATAATTTTCACTTGTTTCTTATTAAAAAAAAAAACATGTATTTGCAATACTTTATTTGTTGGATCCATAACCTAACAGCTACATGAAAATCTTGTGCCTGCTTTCGTTTAACATTATATTTGTTTTTGAGGTTTTAGTTTTTGCTATGTTTTTACTACTTTTGTGTACTTCGACAGAGACAGATACGCAGCCATACATAGAAGTGGTTTCTGAATGTTCAAGAGAGTGGGGCCAATGAACAAGTACCTCCCCCTTAGGCATTTTTGTTTCATCCTTTGCTACAGGATGCTCCATTTTATTTGTTTTCCTTTTTTTAGGTCTTATATTTCTAATTGACAAAATTCATTCTATTTAACTTTGTAGATCACTACAATACGAAACGTGAGAAGTGAAAAGGCAAAAAGCTGGCGATTCACGGGAAGAGGAAAGCTAAGGAGTGATAGAGAAAAGTTGTGGCTTGATAGGAAGTAAGAGAGCAAAAGGAGACAAATAATTGATGCAAAATTTTGAACAATAGATGTGAGGTTTCTCTTGGCTCTTTTCAATTGTTTCTTCTTGATTTTCTCTGATGGCTTCTCCTCCTCATTCTTTCCGCATTCTGATGGGATAAGGACAGTGCCTTCAACAAACTGGAAGCATTGGCCTTCAAGTTGGTTGGAATTGACAATCCATGAATTGTCAAAGTACTAAACAACAAGAAATGAAAAAAAAGAAAAGAAAACAAATTAAAAGAGTTCATCAATTTGGGCTTTTAAAGGAGTCCATCATCGAAGAGAAACTTATGATGTGGAGGTGAGATCTCTGCCCAAAAAAGAAAAAAAGAAAAACTTTCCTTATGTCTCTCTGTCTCTCTCTTTTTGTTATATACTATTTATATGTTATTTTATTTTTCAGATGAAATTACAATGGATCTAAATGGTTGAAATGTTAACTGAATCCCTTGTTAATCCTGCTTGAACTGATTGTAGTAATCTATGGGAGAATTGTAATTTTTCCCGCATATTTTTGAAATTTAGGATATTTCATTGAGTTAAAATGTCGATGGGAGTGTTTATCATTACAAAGTGTATTTTGTAACGTATAATGGCAGAAGGATCCAAATTGTTGTGTTTTAATGTAGGTTTTACTCGTTGAGAAGTATAGTATAGCTTATAATTGCATAAGCATCCAACCATCTGTTATTCTTTTGTGAAGAATAGTTACCTATCATCTTCTTTTAGGTTAAGTATTGCATTTCTCTTGTCTTCCTCGAAGTGAGTTGTACGAAACATTTAGTTGATGTCCTGATTAATTTCTTTTCAATCTTCCCACAAATAAATAGTAACAACAGGAAGTACGTGATATAAGAAGTTAACAAAAATATTACATTCATAGGTTATTCCGTTATAGCTTAGGTTGCTAGATGAATTTGGTGCTCTAACATGTATCCTTTTTTTTTTTTTTTTTTTTCATTTTATCTTAAGAAAACTCATTTTATCCTTAATAAAACCGTCCCAAGTTTTATTATTAGATTATAATAAAGTAATCCAAAAATATTCTACAGCAAAATGAGAGTTTTTTCTTTTCTTTTTAGTTGTTTCATTAAGACTTGGTTAGAGTTCATCGAAAAAAAGAACGGATTTGTTTATTGGTTTTTTAAGTGTTATTAAATTTAGATTACTTTTATAGTATTTCTTATATTCTATTCTCATGTTAATTTTATTGATATTATATGTCATTTAACAAATATTTTTCTTTCATAAAATTACAACAAAATGTCATTATAGCTAAGACATTATAAGATAAATCACAACGCATTCACTGTCTTCTTAATCTTTTCTCAACGAAAATATCCACAAGTTATTTTCAAAATGAACTTCAAAAGGAACCGAAATTTTTTGAGCAAAAAAAAAAAGAAAAAAAGAAAAAAGGAAACAATAATTTAACTTTAATTTAGAACTCACAATTAACTAAAAATGTACGGCACTGTTCAACTTATGCAGAACGCGCGTGGCGTTGCAGCATGCAAGTTATGTTTTTAATTTTCTTCTTCTCTCTATAATTGTCGTTACGCCTTCTCTTGTGCTACGTTTTGTTCGCCATTTCTATATATTGTTGCTTTTTTCTTATTGTTTTGGACTTTGAATTTGAAGAGTTGAGTTTTTAGGGCATTGAGTTTCCTCAAGGTGTCCCTAAGCAGTTGCTTTTCCAGTTAGTTGCTTCGGACCTTGTTCCTTATAGTCTTGCTCAGGGATGATAATTCCACACTTATTTGTCCTGTTGTGCTGTTCCTTTGAGAAATTTTCAGGTTCAACTATTGTTATCCACAATTATATTAACTATCCATTGTAAAAAATTTCATACCACTTTTTTTTTTTTTTCGTTTCTCTCTATCTCTCTCTCCATTTTCTCTCTCCATGATCTCTCTCTCTCCTCGCCGTCGCTGTGGAGTGACGACGTTGTGAACTACTTCTCAGGACGAACTCCATCCAAGCGTGTCGTGTTATACTTCTTTCCCGGCCAAACCTTTGTCCAAACGCCTTCATAAACTACTCGCTTCGGAGAGGTCGGATCTGGCAGCTGAGAGGGCAGATTGCGATGAGGGAGTAGATAAAATGGCAGTAGAGGGGAGAGAGAGAGATCCGGCACGGTGGTGATTGAAAACGTCGGCAGAGGAGGTGCGTGAGGGTTGGATTATTGCGGCTGTGGCTGGAGTTTGGAAGCGAAACTGAGGCCGTGAGCGACGGCGTTGCCGGGTTTTGTAGATTGGAGGCTGGCGAGTCGTTTGATGTAGGCGGTGGCAACCGGAGACGTCGACGCTGTGGTGATTGGCGGTGGCCTGTGTGCCGCGTGGGGAGGTTTCTGTGTTTTTGTTGTTTATTTTTTTTTCTGCTCAACGTGTTGTTATGTAAAAAAAAAAAAAAAAAAAAGAAGGGAACAAAAATTTTGCGTTTTTTGTGTGGATTCTTTTTTTACACAAATTTTGTGTGGATCCTCTTGTTTTGAGAAAAAAAATAACCTATAGAACGTAAAAGATAACATAGGACATTAAAAGATTTATAAGATATGAAAAGATAAATTAAAGGATATAAAAATATATGAATTTAAAAAATAATAGCAGAAATAAGATATTGTTACGTTTTTTATGGTTTTTTTGAAAAATTTTCCTTTTTCCTTTGTTTTTGTTTTTCGTTTTCTTCTCTATTCTTTCCGTTGTGTTTTCGTTTTGCTCTGTCTTTTCCTTTTCTTTCACCTTGTTAGCCTTTCTTTGTGCTCTCCTTCCCTGCAATAACAAATGCCATGATTCTTTGCCAAAAAAGTTTCGCTCTTTGTCCAAAATAAAACTCTTTTCGTGGGTGGATTTTTGACAGCTGTAACTTTTTTCTTTGATGACCGTTCTTTCTCATCTATCTATATATTTCCTCCTCTTTCTCTAAGCATTTGGATGGAAGTCTACTAGTTTAGGCTTGTAAGAGGAGGCCATTATTGAAGAGAAATTAGATGCGAGACCTTTGCTCAAAAAAAAAAAAAAATCGCTCTCTGTTTTTGGATTTTTGATCTTCTTATTTTTCATGACTTATTCCAAGTCTTTCGTCTAAAAATTTCTCTTTACGAAAAAAGAAAACAAAAAGAAAAGAAACTAGCTGTCCGACACCGATATAGTTGAAGAATTAAGGCATTAAATTATTTCAAGAAGCATCCGATAGAGAATGTGGTTGGAGAAGACGTGATTGGGATTGACGAGAAAGAAGAGATTGATGATAACTGGGTGAAGGAGATTAACAGTTTAGAGTAGGAAAGATTTTAATTTTTATCAGGGTCCAAAGGAGATTAACAGTTTAGAGTGGGAAAGATTTTAATTTTTATCGGGATCCATGTTGATTTTCTTGTTTCTAAAAGTTGTGACAGGTAAAAATAGATTAATTATTCCTGTCCCGAGAATTCTGTTTATTTAAATTTCTTTTTCAAAAAATTTAAGCTACAATGGCTCTCTGAAGCATTGCTTGTAGTGATACGAGGTCTTTGTATTACTTACCAATGGCTGATTGAATGGAACTTGTATGAAGGACGTTGAATATTTTGTAAATATATCCCTGAGAATGTCAGTGTATATCTAAATACTCAGTAAAATTGTGAAGAAAAAAAAAAGGTTGATACTAGTTGTGGATGTTTTTTTTTTTGGGAGTCTGTACTGTGTGACTCCCAATTTCTAAAGCATCGGTTGAACACTTTTTAGAAGCTCTTAGATTAGAATATTATTAAAATTGAGATATTAAAATATTTATATTACATTTGAATTGAAATATTAAAATTTTTAACTTTTTTAACACTAAAATTAATACAATCGTCATTAAAATATGATATATTATAACAACTTTATAAATTTAGAGAATAATTTATTAAAATTAAAAATTTAAAAGGCGTTAAACTATGATAAATTTAGGAAGTAAATGTGCTAAAAATCTTTTTTATTATGATGGACCCACCTTTTTCTTTTTTCTTTTATTTTCCACGTATCCTCTGTCATCTTTTACTCTTCCCTCATCCTTCACTTCCCTCCGAACGTCATTTTTTATGACATAGCCACCACTCATTTGAGCAAATCATCATCCACGTGGCAAAGCTTGTTAGACTTTTTTTAATTAAAATTAATAAAGTCTTTCTTCCCATTATCCATCTTAAAACCGCCGGCCCTAATAAGTGAAAAGCTCATAATGAAAGTGCGATCGTTTGAAGATATCAAAAGTTGAAATCTGATTCAGTTGGAGAAGTCATGAGAACCAAAAAATTAACTTTTCTAAAGATTATGAATAACTTCATCAAATCAACAAGAAAAAATCCAAAAAAATTGAAAAAGAGGCTCCTAAAAATAGAAGCAGATAGAAACCGATCTTTTCTCAATACTAATATATTTCTGATTTGGATTATTTTGCTGGATGGAATAAAGGATTTGAAAAGGGAGTGAGAAAAGTGTTTCCCTTTTTTTTTTTTTTTCCTCCCGGTTTTCTCCATGAGTGAGAAAGGCTTCTTAGTTCTCTTCGTTGTGCCTGTGGAGGTATAAAGCTTGTAAATCCCATATTGTTGAACAATACGCATTGATTTGTAGAACTCATCTGTTATACCCATATGGAAAACATCATTTTTTTGAGTGAAAATCTTGAAACAAATTAAAATTAATAGGTTAATATTTAAGAGAAGTTAATAAATAATGCAACTTGGTGTAAATTCGGATTTATAACCATTTAAAATTTCAAAAATTCCTTTAAATGAAATTTCTCTACCTCTTGAGCAACCCTATTATTGTGCGTCTTTCTCCCTCTCTCTCCCTACTCATTATCTTCTCTCTCATATACCCTACTCTCTTCCCTTTCGCTCATTGTCATTGTTTGCCATTCACTTACAGTTGTTGTCCGCCTCTGTAACTCTCTTTTTTCCCTCAATCTCACTGTCGTTGTCCTCCTTCACCACTCTCTCTCCCTATCTCCCATTGTTGTTGTACATAGTAAATATGAGAATATCTGAGATTTATTAAATTAGAATCACTTAAAAAAGAAAAGTATTAATTCTAATGATAAATCTTGGATATACTTGGTAAATTCAGGATTTACCAAGTTAGCATCACTTGAAAATAACAGTATAAGTTAGCATCATTTTTTCAAGAATTATATAAATTCTAATGGTAAATTCTATATATACACTGTAAATCCAGGTATATACTTGGATTTAGCAAGTTTTTTTATTTATTTTTATTTTAGCTAAGAGTAGGAATTACCAAATTAGAATTACTTGAAAAGGAACAATACAATTCTAATGGTAAATATCCAGAATTTACTAAGTTATCATGTATAAGCTCTAATGGTAAAAGTTAGCATGTTCAAACTCTAATAGTAAATCTTGAATATACACGATAAATTTAAGATTTATCAAGTTAATATCACTTTTTTAAGAACAGTACAAATGCTAATGGTAAATCCTAGATATAATTAGTAAATCTAGGATTTACTAAGTTAGCATCACTTATTTAAGAACCGTACAAATTCTAATAGTAAATTATGGATATACATGAGAGAGTTAGAAATATAATAGAGTGAGAACAAAGAATAAAAGATTGAGAAAGAAAGGAAAGGGGAAAAATAACAAGAAAATAGTAAAATTATAAAATTAAAAATTGAAAATGTGAAATGACCTATTAATTTTAATACATTGGTAAATTAGTCATTTACTTCCATAAGTTCTAAATGTAGGTCGCCTATTTCCTATAATTTTGCTTTTCTTTAAGCCTATGAATAACAAGTTATAATAGAGAATATGGAAAATGGAAGGGAAAGAAAAACTAGAGAAGTGATGGTAGGGTCCACAAAAGATAATTTTAGCGTCTGTTTAGTTCATAGATTTGAACAGAGAAATTTAAATAGAAATTTAAATTTTATAAAAGAAAGGAAAATTGTAGGAAATAGGCCAAGATTTAAAAGTTATGGAAATAAATAGTCAATTTACCAACTTATACAAACTAATAGGCAATTTTATGTTTTTAATTTATCATTTTTCGAATTTACCCCTTTCTTCTATTTTAATTTTCATTTTCCATAAATCCTGAGTTTACCCTCACAATTTACAGTCATTTTATTATAAGGTTTCAAGTGAAGTTAACTTGGTAAATCCTAGATTTATCACGTAAATTCTGAGTTTATCATTTAAGTTGATAACCTTTTCCTTATAAGGTTCCAAGTGAAGTTATCTTGTTAAATCATGAATTTACCACACTTTATCATTAAAGTTGATAACCTTTTCATTATAAGGCTCCAAGTGAAGTTATCATGGTAAATCCTGGATTTACCACGTAAATCATGATTTTACCATTATAGTTGATAACCTTTTCCTTATGAGGTTCCAAGTGAAATTATCTTGCTAAATCCTGGATTTATCACGTAAATTCGGGATTTACCATTAAACTTGATAACCTTGTCATTATAAGGTTCTAAGTGAAGTTATCTTGTTAAATCTTGGATTTACTATGTAAATCCTCAGTTTGCTATTAAAGTTGATAACCTTGTCCTTATAAGGTTCCAAGTGAAGTTATCTTGGTAAATCTAGGATTTACCACGTAAATCCTGAGTTTACCATTAAAGCTGATAACCTTCTCCTTATAAGGTTCCAAGTGAAGTTATCTTTGTAAGTCCTGAATTTACAATTAACATTGATAACCTTTGCATTATAAGGTTTCAAGTGAAGTTATCTTGCTAAATCCTGAATTTACCACGTAAATCTTGAGTATACCGTTAAAGTTGAAAACCTTTTCCTTATAAGGTTCCAAATGAAGTTATCTTAGTAAATCCTGGATTTACTATTAAAGTTGATAACCTTTTCATTATAAGGTTTCAAGCGAAGTTATCTTAGTAAATCTTAGATTTACCACGTAAATCCTGAGTTTACCATTAAAGCTGATAACCATTTCCTTATAAGGTTCCAAGTGAAGTTATCTTGATAAATCCTGGATTTACCACGTAAATCCTGGGTATATTATTAAAGTTGAAAACCATTTCCTTATAAAGTTCTAAGTGAAATTATCTTGGTAAATCCTGAATTTACCACTTAAATCTTTGATTTACCATCACAATTTACAGCCTTTCCATTATAAGGCTTCAAGTGAAGTTATCTTGGTAAATCCTAAATTTATTGCGTAAATCTTGAGTTTACCACGTAAGGAGAGCGAAGAGAGAGAGACGAGTATGACCGAGAGTAGAGTTTTGAGTGGGCAATTCTCATCTAGCGGGCATTTGATATGCAATAATCCTGAGAGTGGGAATGAGAATCTTGCAGATTTCTATATTTGGTAGAAGAATTGAGATTTTTTTATTCCCGAGAAAATCAATCCTATGAGATTCACTTTACCTTAAAATGGGGTAATCTCACTCCCACCCAATATGGTGTTATTCATGTTCTCAGGAATGTGATTACTATACAAAACTCAAGAAATTTACGACTTAAACAAAAGAAAAGACAAATATAATCAAAATTCATTCACTGTTCAAAACCCCACCAAGACCCAAGACACTATCGCATATCGATCACCATTGGCCCTACCTCGCCGGCCTCCGGCCACTGTTGAATCATATTTATGGGAATCTCACCAAAATACCCAAACTCACAACCCACCCACACCACCATCACCATAGATCTTGACTTGCCCAGCACCACCACCAAACTTGCAGACTCATCCCCAATACTCATATGTTGGCTGCCAGCCATCGCCTCCCCACCCCCATGGCTCCCGTCACCGAGAAAGACCACGTCGTAGGCCCCCTTCTCCCTTCAATCGCATCCTTTCTGTGTCAGCCTAAATTTGATTTGAGTTTGTGAGAGTAGCCATTTTTTTCCATTGTTTTTTGGTTTACATAATTTTAAATTGATTCTAACTATTTATTTACATTTTTTTAATATTTTATATTTGAAAAAAAAAACTAAGACATGAAAACCATAATAATCTGTTTAAGAAATTTCACTAGCAAAAGTATTTAATAAATTATAATTAATTTTAAAATTGTTGATTATATAAGAAAATTTATATTATTGTGCTTAACCAAACACAGTAAAATGATATTCCGACGTAGATTCTGACATGTTATTATACGTAATAATGCATGTTTCTTGAAAATTATATTACCCTCATCACTTTTCTATTAATATAATTTATATTGATTACTGCATACCAAAAGCCTGCTAAAAATATTTTTGAAGATTCATATGATTGTAAATCCAAATTTACCTCAAATAAACCTATTTACTAACTTTTTTAAAACTTTAACCTATTAATTTTAATTTCCTTTAAATTTTAACTTATTTCTTTTTTTTTTCTAAAAAAAAATATGTTGAGTCTCACATTATTAAAGTATGAGCTTAACATGTGGATTTATAACTAGATCCTAACAAAATACTATTACAAAATTGTTTGGACCGCAGTTTAAACACACGAACAAACCAAAGATAAGATAAGTTGTAACTTCCAAGATCGACCTGGGGTGTGCATAAAATAAAGCCTCTCCAAATGGGTACTTGTTAGTTATACCTAACGGGTGACACTTGTTATTGCCAAAAAAAAAAAAAAAATCATTCGTATTCTGTATCTGGTAGTGGCTGTGCAGTGTTGAAGCAGGTGATGAGCATTCTCTGCAACAGAGCCTCTCCAACAACCTCAAAGGCTCTACAGATCAAGAACCTACTCCTCCAAGGCTTCATCACCTCCAACCATCTTAAACATGTCCACGCCTCTCTTCTCCGTCTCGGCCTCGATCAAGACAACTTTCTCCTCAACTTGTTCTTCCGCTACGCCTTCGATTTCGGCAACACTTCTTACCCTCTTCTTGTTTTTCGACACACAAAACAGCCCAACATTTACGTTTGGAATACCGTGATCCGTGGCTTGGTTTCCAGCCATTGCTTTGACGACGCCATTGATTTCTATTTCTCCATGCGGAGACAAGGATTCTTGCCAAATGGTTTCACTTTCCCTTTCGTTTTGAAGGCCTGTGCTCGGCTTTCGGATTTCCAACTGGGGTTGAGAATCCACACCCATGTTGTGAAAGTGGGTTTTGACTGTGATGTGTTTGTCAAGACTAGTTTGCTTAGTTTGTACGCGCAAACCGGCTACTTGGACCGGGCCCACCAGGTGTTCGATGAAATTCCTGAGAAAAGTATTGTTTCTTGGACTTCCATTATAAGTGGTTATATTGGCGTTGGTCGGTTCAGTGAGGCGGTTTCTATGTTTCGGAGATCAATTGAGATCGGTTTGAGGCCTGATGGCTACAACCTCGTTCGGGTTTTGTCTGCATGTACTCAGTCGGGAGATTTAAGTAGTGCGGAGTGGATAGATAGATACTTAACGGAGAATGGCTTGGGGAGGAATCTCTTTGTTGCGACATCTTTGGTTGACATGTATGCTAAGTGCGGTAATATGGAGAAAGCGCGAATTGTATTTGATGGGATGCCTGAGAAGGATGTAGTTTGTTGGAGTAGTATGATTCAAGGATATGTACTGAATGGGCCGGCTAAAGAGGCGGTAGAGCTTTTCTTACAGATGCTTAAAGAGGGTTTAAAACCCGATTGCTTTGCGTTGGTTGGCCTGTTCTCAGCATGTGCTCGATTAGGGGCTCTAGAACTAGGGAACTGGGCAAGAAGTTTGATTGACAACGATGAGATTTTGTCTGTCCCTGCCCTCGGAACGACCCTGATTGATATGTATGCGAAATGTGGGAGTGTGGTTCAAGCCTGGGAAGTCTTCAAAGAATTGAAAGAAAAAGACCTTGTGTCCTGGAATGCTGCAATCTCTGGGCTAGCCATGAATGGGCATGTCAAAGCTGCATTTGGACTGTTTGGCAAGATGGAGAAATCCGCGATTCAACCTAATGGGAACACTTTCGTTGGCCTTCTTTCCGGGTGTGCGCATGCCGGTTTAGTTGATGAGGGCCGCAGGTATTTTAATAACATGGGTAGTTTCTTTGCCTTGGCTCCTTCCATTGAACATTATGGATGTATGGTTGATCTTCTTTCACGTGCGGGCCTTTTAGGCGAAGCTCATGAGCTAATCAAAAGTATGCCAATGAAGGCTAATGCCGTAGTTTGGGGAGCGTTGTTGGGCGGATGTAGGATACACCGAGATACCCAATTGGCAGAACATGTACTCAAGCAACTTATTGAGTTAGAGCCATGGAGTTCGGGGAATTACGTTCTCTTATCAAATATTTACTCAGCTAGTAGAAAATGGAACGAGGCGGCAGATATTAGATCAAGAATGAACGAGCGAGGGATTCAGAAAGTACGGGGAAGCAGTTGGGTCGAATTGGATGGAGTTGTTCACGAATTCCTCGTCAGAGACAAGACTCACCCATTTTCGGATAAGATATACGTGAAACTTGAGGAACTAGACAAGGAACTGAAAGCAGCAGGTTATGTTCCGACGACGGACTTCATGCTCTTTGACATAGAAGAGGAGGAAAAGGAGCATTTCCTTCGTTGTCACAGCGAGAAGCTTGCCGTCGCATTTGCCTTGATCAGCACAGCTTCAAAAGATGCTATCCGAGTCGTTAAGAACCTCCGTGTTTGTGGTGATTGTCATGAGTTCATTAAGCTAGTCTCAAAGATTACAGGGAGAGAAATCATCATCCGGGATAATAACCGATTCCATTGTTTCGTTGACGGGTTTTGTTCATGTAATGATTATTGGTGAAGTTTCATAGGATTCTTTTATGCTCCACCTTTTTCTGGTCATAGAGTTGTTCGAAATTTGTCCTCAAATATTGTTTGGCACTAGAATTGGCCCCTAGATGATTAGTTGTTGCATTACCTAGTCTCCTTAAAGTAATTTATAACATACAGTTAAAATGTTAGCTACTATGATTAGCAAGAGGTCAAATTTCCAATTCACATCCGAACCAGCCTAGTGAAGAGCGTGGGGGTTTTACGTAGATCCAAGTGCTTATTGACGTGGGAGAGAGTAGTTTTTTATTTTTTTTATTTTTTTTGTTTTTAATAAAAGAGAATAAGCTTTTTCTAATTTCTAATACTTCGAGTGTTAAGGCTCAACCGCCATTTTACATTTTAATGTTAATTGTCAAGCATTAGTAACAGAGTATGGAATTAGTAAACTCCATATATATATATATACCGCTAGATAAGTTCGGCAATTGTAAGACCCCACTTAAAATTAAGACTCCACAAATCTGACTATCAAAAACTAAATTGTATGGAGCAGCTCTGAACGGCGTGCTGTAAATTTTTAATATGGACTTGCACAGATCTGACTATCAAAAACTTAATCCAATAGTCAAAATAGAGTGTTTCACCGGTGAGTTTTTTCAAGGAGTTTTAACGCAAAAGTTACCAAAAAATAAATTGTATAAGAGCTTTAAGTAAAAAAAGAAAATAAAATAAAGGTAAAAAAAGGAAGAAAAAATTTTAAAGAATTACAAAATGTGAAATACAAGAAACGAAAATATGAAAGAAAGATAAGAGATTAACACACGGTTAAAGGAATGAAAGTTTCTTTTTAGCTCTTTTATGTATGTAAAAATTAATATATATATTTTTAAGATAAATTCAACATGTATTTTTAATAGATTAATGATGATTTTTAATCATTGTAATTTAAATTGTAAGTGTATGTTAACAATTTAAAGAGCTCACAAGAAAAAATATGGAGGAGAAGAAAACACATTTTGTGGGCATTTTATGCTTTTTAGAGGTCTGAATTTCTCAAAAACTCAATTAAAGGTTGAAGCTCATTCTAATTAATTTTATTTTATCTTTTTCATTTTCATTTGAGATACAGAAATGTATCATGAGATCTCAATAGCAATCAAATATTAAATTTCTCATATGCTATATTTAGTGGAAAATTTACCACGAAGTATAGTATATGAGAAATTTAGCACAACAAACTCAATTTTTTGCTTTTGGTTAAGAGAGCATCCTTGTTATTTCCGCAACACATAGGGGTATAATTGTTAAAAAAAAAACAAAAACAAAAACAAACTCAAATCAATTAAAAAAAAAGTCCATCAAAATAAGCAAAATTCATAAATGTGTTATGACACAATTATAACAAAAAGTTCATAAAACACATATAAAATACATAATAAGAGTTTTGGAATGATTATATTTAATAGCCCTCATCTTCTCAATCTCCTTCTTATTCATCACTATTTTCTTCTTAAACAGTATAGTCCTTAAAAACGTGATTTGTATATTTGTCAATACTTACAAATAAAAGAAAATGCATGCTTATAATTATTATGATTTAAGGGCCCGGTTAAGGCTTTCTTTACCTTATCCATGCCAAGTAAATTGAGGTTTTTTAAGTTTTAGAAAGTAAGTATATTGATTAACACATAGCCAGTCGCTGTATAATTTTACTTTAGATATATTTTAAAGAGAGAGTATTTACTACAATTTCCCTATTTTTAAACTTAATACAAAACAAAAATAAAACTTGGCAATAGAGTATTTGAATTTTGTGGTTGCAGACACACTATATCCGTAAATCCACATCCAACTATATTATAAAGTGAATTAAAAAAAAGAAAAAATTAATATGAAAACTTTTTGAAAAGTTTTAGTAAGAAAAAACTTAATTTTGCACACACATAGGGTGCATTTAGAATTGGTTTTAAAATAATTTTATTTTCAATAAAAAGTAAAAATGAGATTGTTTTGAGAATCATTCTATAACCGATTCTGAAATTGCGTTTAATTAGTCTTTTAAAAGATTATTTTAAGTATAATAAAAAGGTTAAATCGTATTTATTAATTAATATATTATAATATTCTTAATAAGCACTATAAAATGAAAACAGAAAAATAAAAATAACTTTTAACTGTTTTTTAATTCATTCACAAAAATTAGTCTCACTTTTCATTTTCAAAACATTTACTAAATAAATGTTATTTTATTTTCATTTTTATTTTTTACTTTTCAAAATACATAAAAATCATTTTAAAAAACAGTTCTAAACACACACATGATTTTGATTCCCTTCAGTCGATTGGATGGTTCAGCCCTTCTGTGGCAAAAGTTTTAGCAATGTAAGTGATGATGTTTAGGTGCTTAAATGATGGGTCTAACTAATTGTTATTGAATTTTTAATTATGTTTGCAACCGGTTGTAGCAAGTTTTGGATTGGCATGGTTGTAAATTTATCCAGTTTTGGGGGGTGTTCGGTAATGCACTAATATATTTTTTGTAAAGTTTGATTTAATCAAACGACGACGTAACTTTTGTGATAAAAAATGTAATAATTGTACAAATCCAAAGTAACTTTGTGCACTGCAACGGTGCAATTACAACATACCTTTGTCAACTTTTAAGAATCATGATGATAATTTTTTTTTTTCAAAATTTACAGATTAAATAACTTGCCCCTTATTATTTATGCGTTTAAATTATGTATGATATAAGAAGAAATCAATAAAAATTTAAAGCATAGTTCCCAAAATAGAATAAAGCATTATCCGTCATGGTTTTGTATTTTTCTTTCCCAGACAGTAGCACAAGTGGAAGAGATTTCTTTTTTCCTGAAAGTAGCACAAGGAGATTCCTCTTTGAAATTTGTCTACCTCTCGACTCCCTAATTCTAAAGAGGAATTATTCAGTACACTGAATGTACCACATCATATTATTTATATAGTACACTCGTTCAATAAAATTATATTATTTAAATATTTTATCTATGTTAACTTTTTACGTTTATTTTTCTCTTTCTTAATATGTATTTGCATTGAATACGTATTAAAAAAGAGAAAAATAAAAATGAAAAACTGACATAGATAAAATGTTTAAATAGTACAATTTTATTGAACGGATATATATGACGTGATACACTCAGTGTAGTGAATAATTCCTCAATTCCAAAACTAATATGATGCGCGGTACATCTGGGCTAGATCCTCATCATCGAGTTCATAACTAGATGAGTAGTGATACTAGTAGAACGCTTCCTATCAAATGCTTCCCACCAAGTTAACAAGTGGTCGGTACACTCCCTCATTATTATATTGCTTGTAGTTGCATTGACTTCCCAATGTTGTTTCTCGTTATTTACCGCATATTTACCCCAGTTAAAATTATTTCTCTCGCATATATCCCTACTCAAATCTTTTATTTCTGTGTGGCATTTTCAACTACCATTTTCTCATACATCCTAATTAATGTTCTATATGATTTTGCCAACTATTTTTTTTTTTTTTTTTAAATATGCCCAACCTATCTACAATCTCTCCTTTTCACACACGTCAGGCGCTCACACACCATTATTTAACCAAAATACATGTTTTCATTGAAATGTACATTTCGATCCATCTATTTCTTTATTTATTTTTAATTCTTACATTTATAAATGTGTCTGGTTAATTTTTTTAATCTACACTCCCTAAAATAACTTTTCTCAGATGTGTGATTGTCCAAACATTTTTTCTTGAAAGTAATATTTTTTTTTTTTCAAATGTGATCCTCATAACTATGTTTCTATTATTTCCTTCCGAAAATAATTTCTTCTAAAATACATCCCTACCTAAATATTTTTTTCTTAAAATCCTCTCAAATACTGTTTTCCATATGTACCTAATAAATAATTCAATCTCTAAACTTTTTCGCTGTAAAAACATTTTTCCCTTTTGGATGTGATCTACTTAAACATTTTTTTTATTAAATTAGACTCTTAAATAAATAAATAACTAAAAAGATCACTTAAGCTTTTAAAGAAATTTTACAACTTTGAAGTTCTTCCTTCGCTTCAACTTTCAATTCCTTCCATCGCGGAATTAGTAATTAGTAAACTCATTAATCGGTTACTATCTTATTCTTTTATTTACAAAAGTAACTGCCCCTGACCATTTTTAGCCGTTGATTGTTATTTAAACGGTCCAATAAACCAAATGTATTGTCCAGTCAGCTGGACTGAATCACTATCATACATTTATATACACTAATTATTAGTCACGCGCTCTGCGCATATAAAGATGGCATCAGAGCAGTTTTGAGATGGGATGATCTTCTCACCAACCCATTACATGAATAAAATCACCTACTATCTCTATCCGACTAACCCGCATAAATTGACGAGGTACGGAATGAATTTTCCCGTGACGGGTTTGAAATACTTACGATATCCTACTTACCCGATTAGTTATTTTCGTCATAAAAAAATAAATAATTAATTAATACAACTATACAAAAGAAAAATTAAAAGAACCATAGTTTTGAATTTTCATTATATATATATATTATGGAATATATTATAAATACTATTACATATCATACATATTAGACATAATATATTTACTTTAAAAATAGGATAAAGTTAATTGGGCTAATCGGGGGAATAGGATCGAGAATCTCTAAATCTACCCCTGCTATATGATCCGCGACGGGTTAAAACTTCAACCCGGTTATAATCTCAAACCATTTAAATTTGATTTTTTGACCCATTTAACGTGGTGCTCTAAACATGAGTTCTCGAGTAAAATTTCATCTCTACGTGCATGTAACATCATGTACAAGAGTTGAATAATATTATATATATTTGAGTTATAGAGAAAAATTATATATTAAAACAACATTTGCTATAGAAAAGTTATAGAGAATTATTTGTATATTGTTGGTCTGTATAAATTTAATATAACCTGTTGTTTAGAACACATATAATTACTACTATCTAGTTTGTTGTTTGTTACATAATAATAATAATAAAAAGAAACGGAAACTAAAGCAAAAACAAAAAAGAAAAGAAAGGGGAGCGAAATGGAAAAGCCATGCATTATTCCGCACGTATTGTCATGCGTGTTACTTGAGCAGTTTATTAGATAAAGTTATTTTGAGTTTAAACACATAGTAGTAGATGAGATTAAAAATCAACTAAATATATGTATAATCTTCAATAATGTGCATTTAAGAAAGTAGATTTTAAAAAACTGGATGTATCAAAA